ATTAGCTTCTACAAAAGGGGCACTTTTCCTCACAAAAAAGGGCACTTTTCAACACAAAAAGGGCACTTTTTATCACAAAAAAGGGCACTTTTAGTCCTTTAAAAAAATTGGGGGGGGGGGCACGTGCCCCCCGTGCCCCCCCGCTTCCTACGCCCCTGGCCGCTATCTATTCAAATGAGGGTAACCGCTGGAATATTCCTGGCTTCAATTTTACTAAAAGAGATGCGCTATCTAGTGTATATAAGATGTCTATGAATAAAACATATTGTAAAAACTCCCTAGTCTACGACCTGTATAGGAGTTTGTATGCGTTTCATTTAGTACAGGCAATCTCAACTTATTACTCTCTCAAACAAGGACAGTTTCTGCCAAAATGTCTCGTTCATTTCAGGTAGTTGCATCCCTAGTAACGAAAGCTTGGCTTAATGGGTGAACTAGACACTTGGGCAGTAGTCTGATTAACCCATTGAGTTCCGACGCCCTCCCCTTGTTGAGTAAAATCGTCTGGCGTGGGTACTGGGGAGCAATTCTACTTAAGGTAATACAGAACACCTTTTTGTGTTTGTAATTTTGCCTAAATTTTTTTTATTGGTTTCCATGGCATGAAAGCATTAGACTAGTTCTACTATTCGACCAAGTATGAACGAAAAATGTTGAAAACTCCTAGAGTTATTTAATGAAATATATTTCGCTGCAATAAGAAAAACATTAATGAAAATGTAAATATTCAAATTAAATTTTCTCCCGAAGAATTTTACGGCAATTACTGATTTTCAAACGAGTTGTTTTCCTGCGGGTTTTATATAACGACGGGACATGAATGATCAAGTTAAAGCCGCCAACAAACAATTCAGAAAACACTGCCAAAGGCAAAATAACGGCTGGACACTTATTTCAACATAATAACATTAGCTTCGTTGATGATTTGAATAAAGGAGGACTTCATCTAAATCATGAAGATAATTGCCAATTTTTTAAAAACTTTGTAGACACTATATAACTAGACCGCAGGTTGAATTTGAAATTCATTTTCCTTGAATGCCGCCATAGTTAATAGAGGAGATGGTTTGGAAACTCATTAGCATTACAATAAACCTCACTATCTATGTTTTTGTTCAGGTTTATGCAAAAATGTGGTCTTTCATCGTCACGTGCGTATTGTATTTTTGCTCAACCAGCCAATAGCAACGGTTTTGTCCAATTGCCCATCCATGACTTTAACAATATAGGACATTTTGAACATTCCTATTGGTTGACTTGAGAAAAATACAATACGGCACGTGACGATGAAAGACCACATTTTTGCATAAACCTGAACAACATAGATAATGAGGTTTAATTAATGTCATTTTATTGTAATGCTAACGAGTTTCCAAACCATCTTCTCTATTAACTATGATGCCACATTGCCGTGCCTAATGAAAGTTCCGAATAACTTATCTGACCTCAATGTTGAACTGAACTACTATAGTCGATAGCAACATTTTGAACACGAAATCGATACCACTTTTCCCCCTAAAAACTAGTTTCATATTATTCTGACACTGCAATCGACCAACGAAAAATTCGTTGGCTCGAGCGGGATTTGAACTCGCATCTTCGAGTATCTAGACTGCCGTTCTACCCATTGAGCTAACGAGTCAACGGGGATTGGTAGCGAGTCTTATCCAATTCTATTTCAGAACCATCCTCAGAGATACGAAAAACTAGTTTCATATTATTCTCAGACAAGCGTTAAGTCGTCACGAAAATATTTCGTGCACTTAAATTGGATAAGACTCGCTACCAATCCCCGTTGACTCGATAGCTCAATGGGTAGAGCGGCGGTCTAGATACCCAAAGATGCGAGTTCAAATCCCGCTCGAGTCAACGAATTTTTCGTTGGTCGATTGCAGTGTCAGAATAACATGAAACTAGTTTTTCGTATCTCTGAGGATGGTTCTGAAATAGTATTTTCCCCTAAAGCGCACGTGGTTTCAAACTGGCCTCTTTAAATATAGCTAGTTTGATAAAACATATAGATGAACTGGGAATTCTGCTTGTCAATTGTCCAGTAGATATCCTCTCAATCAATGAAGTAATATAATAACAACGAGAGCGAGTGTTTCACCTGGATATCCACACACGAGAAAACAATGTATGAGCCTTTGACTCAGTAGCCAACGTATATGAAGAACCTCTGCATAAGAGTAATTACAATGGCAAGCTTGAATATTTCCCTGATAATCCTCGGGACAACTACAACCCAAAAACGGAAACGTCAAAGAAACATCTGGTTCAACCCTCCTTATAGCAAAAATGTACGTTTGGGACTTTCTACGATTAATTGATAAGCACTTTCCCAAAGCAAACCCCCTTCACAAGATTTTTAACCGTAACTCCATCAAAGTCAGTTACAGCTGCATGGAAAATGTTAAAAGTTCTATTTCCAGACACAACAAGCGCGTCCTGGCGAAAGCCGAGCCAATCGAAAGCCCAAGCAAATTGTGTGATTGCCGAATCCCTAGTGAATGCCCACTCCAGAAAAAGTGTTTAACGAAGGGTATAGTCTACAAGAATGTTAGGGTTTGTAATCCAAGTGAGTATATACTGTACAGTATATACATTTTAGGACCTGACCAGGAACGACTGCGAAAAATGCAGCACAAGTTCCTCTGGTAGAAATTGAACCTACGGCCCTACGATTCCGGTGCAGCGCTCTAACCAACTGAGCTACAGAGGCCAGCTGTTGAGCTGTAACCGTAAGTTCATGTATATATAGGTAATCGGGTGTGCGGGTTGTGATAAGGTGGACTTAAAGTGAAGTGCAAGAAACCAAATCATTTAAGTCCACCTTATCACAACCCGCACACCCGATTACCTACATATACATGAACTTACAGTTACAGCTCAACAGCTGGCCTCTGTAGCTCAGTTGGTTAGAGCGCTGCACCGGAATCGCAGGGCCGTAGGTTCAATTCCTACCAGAGGACCTTGTGCTGAATTTTTCGCAGTCGTTCCTGATCAGGTCTTAAAATGTATATATTCTCACTTGGATCACAAACCCTAACATTCTAATATTAATTCCACCAAATGAAGTGCAATAAACCAAATCATTATAGTCTACAAGGCAGTGATAAAAACAAAGGAAGATCGCGAAACGAAAGATACATCGGAATGACGGCGAACGATTTTAAAATTAAGGTGAGATATTGGAACCACATAAAATCGTTCAAGCACAAAAGATATGAATATGACACGGAACTTTTCAAATACCCGCGGTGTGGATATACACTCAGAGTAACATTACAAGCATCATATTCACCTGAGTACATTGCACCAACACAGAAAAAATCATTTGTTAACCTGGTTGTTTAATTTCGTTAACCTACTACCTAGGGCTAAAACCAGCCCCAGGCTGGCCTGATTCAAGATGAAAAATAACGAACATTTATGCATAATTAAAAAATGTTTTTATGGGTGCTTTCAATTTGCCAGTGGTCAGGCCAGTAGCAAGCATCATATTCACCTGAGCCTCGTCGAGCTCACCTGCTTTTTGCCGAACTCACCTGCTTTTCGCCCGAACTCACCCGCTAAACTGCTTACGTTGCAATATAAACAATAACAAATATGGCGGACAAGATTTAGCCGATAAACCTAAACTTTAAAGAACTTTTTTCGGTGACTAACATACTGAGACTGAAGAAAAACCACAGAAAAAATGCAGTAAAGGTAATGCAGACGTAGATAAAGAAGTATTTTCTTGCCCAGTGATTTTTTTGGCCGGGAAAATGTTCACAAAACATCGACGAATATATCGCGAAGAGCTACAAATGTGTGTATGGCTCGGTGTATGGGATAAAAACCAAACGTACTTGCAGGTTCGGTGAGTCCGGGATTGGACGCACCTCGGGTGGCTGGAAGTTTCCCGTATTCACCTCGCTTCGCTCGGTAAGTTCGGGAAACTTCCAGCCACCCTCGGTGCGTCCAATCCTGGACTCACTTCCCTGCAAGTACGTTTGTTATAATATCAGTAAAGGCGTGCACATACGAATTCATACGTCGTATGGAAGGTTTGAATCAAACCTTTTTTGAGTCTCCAAGGTTATGTTTAGGGTTCTAAAAATCTCACTTTTATAATTCGTAGCAACTGAAGGCTGCCATCTTGAAACAGCTTTGTGACAAGGCAAAGTGGGAAAAAGTGAGCCCAAAATATTAAATTGCCCGCCAAAGATTGCGAGGACTGTGCCTGTGGTTAGGTATACAGAATTAGATAGACAAATCTAAAGATTTGACAAATGTCATGACGGGATCGGAATTTGGTGGGCACGAATGACTTTATAGATTAACGGTTCCTATAAACAACTAATTTAACTGAAATCGTGCATGCAGAAACCTAATTCATGACTAATCTGGTAAAGTCCTCGTATATAGTCGGATTTGATACGTTAGTGGCTATTGTCTTGTTAGCAAAACAGCTATATTTTCTGAACATGAAGTGGTTGTCACACTATCATTAAATTCATTTTTAATTACAAAACTATGAATTTCCCAAGTACACTGCATGTTATTATGTTTGATATAAAATTTCTATTTGATGTTCGCAAAACGTTCTGAAATGTTCATAAACCCATTTATATATTGATAAACTAATTGATTTCAAGTTATGTAATTCTCTCATTAAAATAATCGCGCTAAAATAATCTAGAATAATAAAAAAGGTAATTTAATTGGGATTATGAGATTTTGATACCTGAACTGCGAAGAATTTCGTCCAAACGAGGTTTTGCCTTATCATATTCAGCGTCATTATAATATCTTCGTAATAAAGGATCTTCAGTGTTGTGCAGGTTGTCTGCAAACCGTGAGATGGTCAACAACGCGGACATGAAACCATCTGGAGCCTCATCTCGCAACGTAATACGACGGACCTCCAACAACAGCTGTATTTGGGGTTCTGAAATAAAAATAAAGCATGAATAGGAAAAATGAAAACATATCCCTGTACCCCTGATTATTAGCACTGCATGTGGTGAAAATTACCAAAGAAGTAGTGATTAAAAATTACTTCTCCAACACGGT